GCCGCGCGGAGGAGGGGTCTGTGAATGTCTCTCCCACCGCTGATTCTGATTTGGTTTGAAATAGCTTTAACACCAGCCTGTGTCAGCTAGGCAGGTCTGGAGTGACAGCGCGGGTCTGTGGTCCTCCTTCCCTTGCCCCGCTCCAGAGGGGTTTGCCTTGGTGCTGGCAGGGTGCTAGCTCGGGTGCTGTGTGCAGGCAGTCCTAGCTGGGGCAGGGCAGGGCGGGGGGGTTCAGCTCGGGGCAACACTTCCTAGAAGCAGGTGCTGGCGGCCCCTGTGCCCCTGCTGTACCCGCCGCAGGTGAGGGTGTCAGGTCTGCGTTGCGTCAGGCTGATGAAAGTCTCGGGGAGAGTTTAGACCAGTGCTTCTCAACCTTTTTTGTACCAGGACCCATTTGTAAACATTGATGGCCAGTCCCGACCCAGTGCCCCTCACAGCCCACTGCCCCCAGTGTGTGGGATGGGGAGGGGTGCGGTATGGGGAGCCCCAAGCAACCCTTTGCAGGCTGGGACTCTGACAGGCTGAGAGGGAAAAGCCAGCTTTCCACATTTCTCTCCGTTTTTAAAGTTTGTTCACACCCCTTTCATATATTCTTGTGACCCGCGGGTTGAGAAACGTGGGTTTCGATCGTGGTTGTATGGGATGGTTTGGAGAGGGATGATCCTCCCTCCCTCTACGGGGTGACCTGTGCGGGTCCCTTCCAGCCCCGCTTCTCTGTGATTCTCTGAACTCGGAGTGGGGGCTGTGTGAATGCCTCTCCCCATGTTTCACCAGGCAGGTTTTGTTTGGCTGAAATTGCTTTAAAAATGGGGCGAGAAGCCTGCATAAAACGTGCCCCGTATGGAATGACGCCACGGGGCTGTGGGCTTCTTTTCCTTTGCTGCCCAATATCCCTTGCCCTGCCCTGCCTAGAGGTCTGCCCGTCTCCAAGTTGGAGGCGTTTGCAGGTGACTGCTGCCGTGGTTGTGGCTGGGCCTGGGAGCAGCCCCGGGGCTATATGCAAGCAATCCTAGCTAGCCTAGGCTTGGCTGTCAGCCAGACCTCGTGACCTGGAACAGCTGATGATACTAGATATCGCAGACCAGTGAGAGCTTTTTTTTTTTTTTTTTTAAATTAATAAACATGTTTTCCCAAGGAGCCAAGTGCCCAGTGCCTCTTCTGCTTGAATGTGACTGGTTCTGCTTTAATCCTGCCCATTTCCTCTCGGATCAAACGTCTGATGGTGATGGGGTTTGACTGAGTATCATTCACAGCGGTTCTGTGTAGGTTTCTACTCCACCCCTTTGCCCCCCTAGCTATCGCCTCTGGCATTGGTAAATAGCGCTACAGATATAAATCGCTGGAAGTTTGGGAAATACTGGGGTGCTTTGGGACTGAGTGTTAAGGACGTCTCTGTGATGGTCGACAGCATCTAAACATAAAAGGAAAAATATCTGTCGGACTGATGTTGCTGGTGGCTCTGTGAGCTGGTGCGGGGGTAAATGCAGACTGTGGGAGTCTGCTCTCCAGGAATGAGGCAGCAGAGGCCAGTGGGGCTTGGCCGGGAGACCAAACTTCTCTCCCTCATTCTGACACTGACCTACTGAGTGACCTTAGACCAGTCACTTCATCTCTTTGGGCTTTGATTTCCCTTTCCACCCTTTGTCTTTTTTGTTTGGACTGTAAGGTCTCCTCCAGGGCATGAACTCTTTCTGCTAGATCTGTACAGTGCCTAGCACAAAGGAGCCTTGGCCTCTGTCATGGCTTCCAAGTGTTACCATAATATATGTAATGTGCAAGTCAATCCCATGAGCAGAACGGTGCTGCAATTCACAAAGCCTGCTCGTTGATACATGAGCAGAACTTCCATTCTTCTCCCTTCCAGCGCTTCCTATTGAAGAGTGTTTTCTGCACCTTGCAGTATTAAAGTCAGTTACTTCCTGAAAGTGAATCCCTTTTCCTCTGTGTGAGACTCAGTTAAACCTGCAGTAATGCAAGCTCGGTATGGCACTCTGTGCTAGCAAATGTGTTGGCTCATGCTACTTTTCAGCCTGAGGCAAAACTAGGAGCAGGCACATTTGTGTCAGAGCCAGGCGCAGTTTAAGAGCAAGAGGGGTGTTCTGTTTAGAGCAGTGATTCTCAACCTTTTTTGGACTCAAAGCCTCCCTTGGAAAATACAGACTCTTAGTTTCGACATGGTTTTCGTCTGTGGAAATATAACAGAGCAGTTTTTTCTGCTGCAGAGAACTCAAAGACCAGAACAGGGCAGAATATTTTTAACACTATGGATTTCTATTTGAAATCTCTGGGTGATCTTGTGCATCACGTTTGCACATCTAACAGTGCTGACTGCCTGGTACCCTCCAGTACCCTTGAAAGGATCTCAAGGCACCCCAGGGTGCTGTGGACCCCTTGTTGAGAATCACTGTCTTAGAGGGTGAGGGAACCACTGTTACCAGGCCTAGTGTCTCTGCCTTGCTTACTTATTGCAGTGATTAAATCAATTATGATAATCCCCAGGATTGTTGCACAGTTTGTTATACTCAGTGATTAACAATCCAGTTTTGTTTCATGTTTGACTTACTAGGTTACAGTAGCATCTCCTGTGCAGTAGGTCCTCTCCAGGTACCTGACACAGTGGCCTGTGCTCCAAGAATTTGCTGTGTCCAGTCTAATAAATGGAGGTTAGGAGAACAAGAATAGGAAAGTCAAGTAGAAGTGAGCTCGTGTTACTGCAAGTAGTAACAGGGGTTTTGAGAGGCTCCACTGCCTGCAAATGAGCTTGTGAAGGCTGTACCCTGCTGGAGGGAGTCACGTAAGCAGGTGTGGACAAGGCTAGGAATGCCAGTATAGCAGGGGGAACAAGGAAACAATGTGAAGCTTGAGATGGAGGCAGAGGAGCAGGTTTCTGCAAAGTACTGATGGTCCTTACAAGAAGCTTAAAGTAATTCAGTAGCAGACAGAGGGAGAGTAACATGATCAGAGTAATGGACACAGAAAATGTCTTGAACGTTGTTGTGCAGATGGAAGGGGGCTATGGATGTTGCAGCAGGCTGTAACAGGAGCTTGAATAACAAACTTGTCTGCTGAGTGGAAAGAAAAGGCTGGTTCTTGGTGAGGAAGAAGCGGCAGGATTTGCTGCAGCCTGGATGTGTGAGGCAAAGGGGAAAGAGGCTTCAGCTATAACCCTCTGTGATAACACACTTATAACCCTCTGTCACTCATGATAGGGAAGCTGGAAGTGGGCAGGAGAAGGAAGGAATTCTGTTTTAGCCATGGGCAGTCAGTTGCTTACAGATAAGTGCTGGGCTCCAGTGGGTGTGGCAGAATTTGGAGACGCCCATGTAAACCGTCTAGCTTGGTTAGCAGTCTTGGCCCCCCGCCATTCAGTGGGTTCAAGTCCACCAACAGAACCTTGAGTAAGAGCCAGCAACGCTGCGGAGGCAGACCACCCTGCGAGAGCTGCTGTCCTTTCCAGCCATCTCTGCCGGATGCCCAACTAGAAGTTAAAGGTCCTGTAGTGCAATTGCAATGGCTTCTAAATAAGCCCAAAGTTGCATCTTGTAGAATGGAAAATGTGACCTAATGGGAGGCAAGAATGAAGTTATAACTTCATGTTTTTCTTCTCTTCCAGATACCTTCTTGAACAGAGAGACGTGGAAATAAATGTCCGGGATAAATGGGACAGTACACCTCTGTGAGTGTCATGGCCTTGAGTGCTGTTCAGGTAGAGGGGAAGTTGGGAGAGAATGTGCAGGAAACCTCTGGGACGCTGTCTGGTTTGAGTTTGAATACCTTTCTTATCCCAGGTGGACTTTCTGTGTACTAGGTGCCCTCTTATCTAGCCACTGAACTAGCAGTAAAATAACATTTAGGAGAGTGCCAGAAGAATCCCAAGGCAGGTGCTGGGAAGGCTGCCCCCACCTCCAGGAGGGGTATAGTGTACAGCTCAGTGGCGTGGAACAGGAGACAAGGAATCCTGTGTCTCTCTGAGAAGGGTGATGTGAGCTGTGAGGCTCATCCCAAAAGGTGATGTGAGCTGTGAGGCTCATCCCAAAAATGTTCTCAAGATTTTCAGTGTATTTTGAACAAGACTCACTCCCAGACAGCCTTTTTGGGGGTAATTGAAAATCCCTATAAAATGTCCCTTTCTTATGAGAGGCAAGGGCTTTTTTGCGATCTCTTATTGGACCAACTGTGTAGTTGGAAGAGGTGTTGAATACGTTTTTTGGTTATAAAGCACCCTTCAGGTCTGAATAGGAAGCAGACACGAGTTGGATGATCTTGTATAAGGACTTTTCCATATGAGCCAGTTGTACCTATTTGTAATATTTAGCTTTTTCTTCCTGCAGTGGAAAGGTAGGGGATTGTTATAAGGCCTAAAGAATATTTGTGGAGCAACTTGGGATGCTTAAATAAAGAGTTGCTATGGAAGTATTATGGACTTTATTGTGGAAAGAAGCAAATAGGAAAATTTAAATCCATCCTAAATCAGAATTTGGGATGTGGGCTTACCGTACATCTCTGCTTTGTGAGATGGAGGTTAGAGAACTCTTGGTGTGCAGTGAAGGCAGTATGTCTGTAGGAGAAAGGTCTGGAAAGAGGGATAGAAATGCTTAGTTGTACCCAAAATAAACTAGTATAAAATGATGAACTGAGCTGCTGAATAAGGGGTAGGATGCTGCAGTGCACCCTCAGCAGGGCCCAGAAGCATGAGGAACAGAACCTGCTCAGTCTCTTGTAAGTGTGTGGTGTCTACGTTGCTATAACTGTCCCAAAAGGAGCCATTTCCAGCCCCCTACCACTGGAGGGACATGCCTATACAGTGTTGCAGTCTCTGTGGAAGGATAAAAAAGCCTCTTGAGGGACCAGGTTACACTCTTAAAGCAACGAAGATCTCACTGCTTATTTTGGTTCTGACTTTCCTTCTCTCATTAACAGATACTATGCTTGTCTCTGCGGGCATGAGGAGCTTGTACGTTATCTTCTAGCCAATGGTAAGAAAAGGAGATGGGCTTATCCTGCACTTTTTGTGTGTTCATCCCTTTTACAGTTCTTGGCTCACACTCCTCTGTAGCTGCTTACAAAGTCTCTGTCTCTTAACCGGTCTCAACAGATGACAGGTGATGCTCTTGGCTATAGATGGATGGTACACCATTTCAAAGGGGGTGGGGAGCCTTGCTTCTTTGGAATGCACGTCAGTGGGACCAGTGCGACTGTTTTGTCTATCTGCTTCTATGCCGATGTAACTAAACCTGAACTGAATATGCTTAAAATAATGGCAGCTTAGCTATGCTCACAGCTGGTATAAGAATGGACAGACAGAATAGTTGCATCAGTTTAGTATGATCTGCAGTAAAACATAAAACTGATATAACTGTTTTGTCGGTCTATACCCATGATCAAACCTCTGATTGCAAAACTTAGACTGCTGTGGAACTCCATAGTTGCACTGGACCTACTGACAGTGTCCCCCTATCTAAACTACTTGCCTCTAGAAGGAGAGCTTCTTTCTTTGGTCACTCCATGGCATACATGAGCCCAAGGCTGCAGTGATGGCTAACATTAGTTATAGCAATTTGCTAGGATTCAGTGCTAAAATGGATAGTCAGAGCTGCATCTTAGTGAATCACTTAAGTAGAGCTTGATTTCCTGCTTCCTTGTGCTTTTCTCTTGTTTTGGTGGAGTCATGCTCCATAGGCAGGGCTTGAGGATGAACAACAAATGTTTTATTGAAAACAGCCAAGAATGCCCTGTCAGTGTCTGGTTTCTCTGTCAAAGTGACTGTCTTCAGTTCTCAGCTCCAGTATTTTGCAAGGGGCTGTTTGCACCCCTTATTCTGGCAGAGAGACTAGAGCATCTAAACCCTTGGATGTATTTCAGCCAGTGATGTGCTTCTGTACGCTGGAGCAACCACTTGCTTTTTATTGTCTATTTTGGAATCTTATTGGTTCCCTATAAACTTTCTTTTTTAAGCAAAACTTTTGCAGCTCTTTAAAGAAGCACCGCTTGCTTTCTGTATAAGCAAAAACCTGGCCTTGTGACTAATTGCACCATTCATATAGTGTGTTTCTTCCTCCTTGACTCTTTGGGAGACCTGCCAGGGCTGCGGCTCAGAACTTCTTGATATGGGAGGATCTGGTTTAATTAACTTCATGAAGGCTTGAGTTGTGGGAGGTCACACTCAGTGCATATGTGGGTAGGGAAGTTTATTTTAGTGGCTGAATGCCAATTGCCATCAGCTGTAGTTACTTCCTATTATCTAGTTGGGGAGCCACTCTTTTGGGTACTGTGCAGTGTTACCTGTGTCTTATGGTATTTACATTTGTCACTATTTTGCAGGTGCAAAATGTGAAGCTAACACTTTTGATGGTGAGCGTTGCTTGTATGGGGCTTTGAGTGATGCGATCCGCCGGCTCTTGAAGGAGTACAAGCAGATCACGGCCAAGTGCATGAAGAGAGATTACTATGATGTCTTTCTGCAGCGGTAAGGCTATGGGACAGCTCCAGAGGCAATGCATTTCAGGATCCCAGTCTGCATGTCAGCTAGCACTCACTCTTGAGTCTGCTCTTCAGGAGCTGCTTACAGATATGAAAAAACAAAAACCCAGTACTTTAAGCTTTGCGCACCCCCACACTGAACTCGATGCCCAGAAGAGGCATTATGTTAGTTTGACACGGCTTGCTCAACACTAGTATAGGTCGCATGGTTCAGCAGGGCTTTTTGGCCCTTTTATCTAATAGCTGATTGAACTGGCTTTAGATAAAAGTACCAAAAAACCCCGCTGAAATGCATGATCCATACAGATGCTGGGGAGCCAGGTTGAACCAACATGCTTCCTCTTCTGGTAAATCACTGTTTTGTTTTGTGTTTTTTCACATCTGTCAGCAGCCAGGCAGGCTAATCAAGCTCCACCTTGATTTGTTATGTATTCTTTAAAAATAGGCAGATTTGTTTGCACCCCAGGAAACTATTTTCCACATATTATTGAGGGTTTAAACAACAGATGCCCACTTAGGTACTTGCACAAACCTGTGGCCAATGAACATGTAACATGCAAAGCACTTGATTGACAAAACAGTTTTCATCAGCTTGCCAAGAAATGCATCCCCCAACTGAAGGTGACATCAGCTGAATTTGTTTCAGCCTGAAATCTGTGTAGCACTAGGTCTAAGATTTTCAATACTGAGCAGCAGTAATGGGTGCCTTCTTTTTGGGGTGCTCAGCTCGGGGCCCCCTCAAAGAGCCTGACTTTCAGAGCTAGGTGCTCAGCCCTTTCTCAGAAATCTGGTTCCTTTAAGATGTCTTGTGTAAGGCATGGAAAATTGGTGATAGCTTTTTGAAATACTTGACAGAAAGCTGAAAACAATCCCCAACCCCCCATACCCACCCTAACACAGCTTTTTTGAACTTAGAAATAATTCTTTAATGTTTTTACTCAAACTTCCAAAGAATCTAACTCTTGGCCTGAGTAAAGGAAACATGGGAAAATTTTAGGGGTGCACCGATAGAGATTTTTGGGGCTGATACTGCTAGCCAATTTTTAAGGAGGCATATCGGCCAATAGTGATCCAATTTCAGATACCAGCTCAGCAGCTTGGAGAGCTGCATGCAGCTGGTAAGTCTGGTGTGGTGAAAGGGGAGGGAAAGGGTGTTGGGGGGCAGATCAAGGCCCTTGCGGTGAGGGAGGAGTGGGTCAGGGGCTGAGGCAAGTGCTGCCCAGCTGGAGAGGGGTGGGATGGAGTCATGGCTCATCTGGGGGGCGGGGAGTGTCTCCTGCCACTGCGCGCTGCTTGTCTGGGAGCCACTGGTCCAGTGCTCGCCTGCTTGTCCAGCAGCTCCCACCGCTGCTCCCGCCACTTGTCCAGGAGGGCGTGTGCCCCCAGATCTGCATGGGGCATGGTGGGTTGGGGCCAGGGCTGCGCGGAGTTCTTCCTGGCCTGGCCTGCCCCACCCCACACAGATCGGGGGCACACCCCCCATGCCCTCCGGACAAGTGGTGGGAGCAGCAGTGGAAGCCGCTGGACGAGTGGGCGAGCACTGGACCAGTGGCTCCCAGACAAGCAGTGCGCAGCAGCAGGAGCTGCCCCCACCATGCCCCCTGGACGAGCCATGGCTCCATCCCATGCCTGCCTCACCCCAGCTGGGCAGCACTTGGCCCAGCCCTAGCCCAGCTCCTCCCTCATCGTGGGGGTCTTGATCTGCCTCCTCACACCCCTTCCCTCCCCCCTCCCCTTCCATCACACCAGACTTTCCAGCTGCACGCAGCTCTCCAAGCTGACGGGCTGTGGTCCTCACTGCCTATGTGTTGTGCTGTGGCATGCCGTGTACATGCACTGGCATTTATTGGCCAAACTATCACCCACATCAGGCTGATTTCTGATATGATCAATTTTCTTTATATCAGTGTCAATCCGATATTGGACCAATGTATCAGTGCACCTCTAGAAAATTTAGCTTAAAAATTGAAAGCTGCAAAACTCTAAGACCTGAAGAAAACCCCTTTAGATGGACGTGTGCACGTGTGTTTTGTTCACTGTCATTCCACCTTTGCAATCACCCCATCCATGTGGTGCTGTACTTTTTTCCTTCTTTGCTTCAGAGCAAGCAAACTAATGGCATCATTTAGGCCTGATTTAATTTGCTTACTAAAATCGAGAATTACAGAATGCTTAGGGAACTGGGTGGTGTTGGGTTTGACAGCAAGGCTTTATCAGTGTGAGCTTGGGTTGGTGGTATGTAGGAGGAATAGGAAAACTACAGGTGAGTTATGGTAGTTCCTGCAATCAAGTAGTAATTAAATGGAAAAAAATGACTCTGCACTGTCATGCACTCTATATGTCACATTGTACAGAAGAGAGAGAAAATACTGGAGTTTTAAAATCTCTTTATGGCAACATATTATATATCTGCTTGTAAAACCTTCGTTGTCAATGTGTAGAATTCATAATAGCCATAAATGTCTCAAAAGTAACCTAAAACAACTTGATAATCCACCGTGAAACCAAGTTGGTATCTACGAAATCTGGAAATACGTGGCTGTAATTGGAAGTAGAGACTTACCCTCCGTATTATGAAGTGACCGTTTCTAAGGAAGTGAGGTATTGGGGGTGGGGATGCAGGACAGAGGGTCGGATAGCCTGGTTG